AAAAAAAAAAAAAAAAAAGAGTTATTATTAAAAACACTAATCGATATAACTGTCACATGAAGTAACATATTACTACACTCTTAGCTACTTTATTTTTATTCTCTTGCTTAATATTACTTGAAAATCATTCTATATTAGCACATAAAGACTTTGCTGCTTTATTTCACAAGTACATCATGACACAAAATGTACATCATATATTTAGCTATTCTTCTGTTGATAAGACATTTTGGTAGTTTCATATCCTTTACTGTGATGAATAATCCTGCACATATTCACATGCCAGGAAATCTGTGGTGTAAATCCTTAAAAGTGGTATTTCTGAGTCAGTGGATGTAGTCATTTTAAGAACATTGCCAAATTGCTCCACATAGAGATTGTACCAATTTACACTCCCACTGGTAGCTTTTGAGGATGTCTCTTTCCTACATGCTTGCCGATTTACTGTCTTCTTTTATAAAGACAATTTTCAGAAACCTTTTATAGTTTTATTCTCTTATAATAGATGTGTCCATCTGACCAAGTTTTGGTCAGTAGGATTTAGATGGAAATGGTGTGTGGCAGCCCTGGGGAACACACTTTAAGACACACTTCACATGTGCTTGCTGCCATTTTTCTCTCCCCTCTATCTCCTACTTCCCACTTCCCTCACTCCACTCCCTGCTTCCCACTTCCTTCCATGATGGCTTCGTCTAGTCCTAACTACATCCCAAAGGCCCACTTCACCACAGTGAGATGAAGTTTCTACCCACTTAAAACTTCACACTCAGGATTAAGCTCAGCAACATGAGATTTGAAGGGCATGGATCTTTGTACTGAAACATAGCACTCCGTTAGCTTTTCTGGTTTTGTCAAAGTAGCCACCATTTTGAAATCCTGGCCACCAGGAGGTGGAGTTACTGGAATCCCTCTTGTATGTTACAGCCTGACAGGTAAATGTGGCAAGGTACCAAGTTGTATGTCTCATTGTATCCTTTTCACTTTTTAGGTTGTTACATCCCTTCAGGTAGATTTTAAGTTCCTTAAAGAACTGGTTCAGTTGAAGTTTGAAGAACGACTTAAAGAGGAGTCATCTAATATCTCCATTGCTCTGTATGACAGGATCCTAGAGATGGAAAAACACAACCAACAGGTAGGAATTCTGTCATTTTTTTCTCATTTAAACATAAACATGTTGGGCTTCCATGAGCGTGTGCTACAGTTTTGAATTCAGTGACTTTCATCTCATATAGTAAGTAATACTTACAGCTTTGCTACAAGTCAGAACTTTGTTTTTGTTTTTTGAGACAGGGTCTTGTTCTGTAATTCAGGCTGGCCTTGAATTCATCACATAGCTCAGGCTGGCCTCGAACTCAAAGTGATCTTCCTGCCTCAGCCTCCTGAGTGCTGGGACTATAAGTATATGATACCATACCTGGCCATGTGTGAGGAATTTTTTCTTCTTTTAATTCTTTGTCTATGAAATCATTAGTCCTTACATTTCCCTTCTAAAGTTCATATAATTATCTTTTCTCAGGAAACTGAGTCACAGAAAGTTTAATTAACTTGTTCAAGGTCACCAGTTAAACAGCAGAGAGCCAGGTCAGATTTCAGGCCAAATAGTTTATGCTTGAGTTTTTGTTCTTAACCACACTTTTTTCCCCTAGTACAGGGGATTGAACCCAGGGACTTCACACCCTCAACACTCTCTTCCCCTTTAAATTTGAGATAGGATCTTGCTGTGGGCTAAATTGCACAGGTTGGGTTGAAACTTGTGACCTTCTTGCAATCAGCCTCTCAAAGTACTAGGATTATAGGTGTGCATCACCACACCTGGATTAACCACAACTTTATATGATATTATTTGGGCTTTGATGGCTCTGCAGGAGCCAAGACATGAAAACTAATGCTTCAGGAAATTTTCTAGAATCTTTGGTCAGGGTGGCCTACTTATCTGTTATTAAGGTCAGGCATTGTTATTATTTCTGTGCTAGAAAGCAAGAAAACTCATATTTGGTTGACCACAACGTACTAAAAATGCCAAGTCTTTTAAATAAATTTGCCCTGCAGGCCTTTTGAAATCCTCAAATGGATATCCTGTTAGCCTGGATCTACAGATTAAGAAAGAGCTTCCCAAGGTTAGGTCACTTTAAATGAGTCTAGATAATGAGGGACATAGTACTTAAATGCAATCCTTTATTGCTCAAAAACCTGTTTGTTGTTTATACTACATGCTAGAATCAACTGATGTCAGAGTCAAGAGCATTTTTCAAAAATGTACCATCTCTCATTTTTTTTCCTATCTAAACAAAGTATCTGATTAATCTGAAAATGACTCTAGTTTATAGACTGTCCACTCCAGATTTCTTACCAGCCACATACGCCATCAAAAAGTATAAAGACCAGGAGGAGAGATGAATCACAAAAAGACACTGCTACTTTTTGTTGTTGTTGAGACAGGGTCTCACTGGAGAGTCCAGGCTGGCCTTGAACTCATGACCCTTCTGCCTCAGCCTCAGATTTTGCTGCTTTTATACTTCAGGGAAGGCACTAAAGTTTTTAACCTACTATAAAATGAAATTATCTGTATTGTATTAGCTTTATTTCTGTTGCTTTTGGTTGGAGGTAAGTAAAAGCCAACTGTGTTATAATAGCTCAGTGTGGGAGAAATGATTATATGTTGAAGTTCTTGAAAGGTTGTTTGATGGTGGATTTTCCAGAGCTCCTCCCTAGTATGCATGAGCCATATTTGGAAACACACTGTCATGCTTCCTGTATTTATTTTTGCTTTGCAGAATATGGAGAACATGAGAAAATGCTTTCAGCAGCAGTTAGCTGATGCCATCGCTGTCATCAAAGGGATGTACCAGGTGGGTTTGGTGCTGCTGAGAGCAGGTTGGCTTAATCCCTGCGTGTGCACCAGTGGGCTCACCTTGAGTTTCCCACTCATTCTTTATACCTTTCAAGTCTGTTTCAACCTTGATTTTCAGGTTATTTCAGGGGATTCAGGCCGGACACTGCTCACACTCACATTAAATTTAGCAAAGTAACATTTTATGATGGTAACTCTCCAGAGATGGCAGAAGTCCAATCTGGTATCCAGGCTCCCCAGGCAGGCACCAAAGTAACCCTGAGTTTGTCTGGTGAGGATGTTGTTGGATAGAAGATCGGGGTCCTAAGAGTGGTCATGGGCCCTGTGAGAAAGTCCAGGGCACAGTCTCTTCTCTCACCCTCCACACAGGAACTTCTCAAGTGACAGGGACATGTCTGTGGGCCAGACACAGTGGGAAAATTCATCCTTTCAATGCTTGTTTTGGATTGTAACTATAACTCCACCATTCATTTCAACATGTTTCCATAAATAAGTATTTTCTACCCACAGCTAACCACCCTCTGATCGCATACCTCTTTTCATTGCACTCAGCACATTTGTATTTAATGGTGTGGCTGTTGGTTATTTATCTGTCCTGTGCTGACCACGGCCTTGGGAGGGTGGGGATGTTGCGTGACTTCTCCATGCCCCCAGCCCTGCGTCGGCACCATGCAGCCACTAACCCTCAGCCACTGACTGCTAAGTGAGTGAACGTCCTGTACCAGGAGTGGACTCTGGTGTTGTACGCACATTCTCTGCTCTCCCTGTCACACTAACAGGAGCTTTCTGGTTTTGTAGAAGCAAAGTTGCGAGATGCTTTCCTTTCTGGCTGTGGCAAGGGCACGGGCAAGGTCAGGCCCCTAACCAACAGTACCTGAAGATTCAGCAGACTGTTCTGGAGGAAGTGGGTCTTCTAATTCAAAGGAGGTCATGGGAGCAAATAGCATTTTTCCCCCTTTGTTTGACATTGTTCTGTCTCCTTCTGAGGCTTGGAATTGCTGCAGCCAAACTAAAATCAAGGTCCAAGCTACAGAGCATCGTGCTGAGGTGGCAAAGTGGAAAGAGGGAAAGCACGGCTCTGGGTGACATCGCTGGGCAACTGGAGTACCTCGGGACTTGCCTGGCCTCTCGCCCTTTTCTCTCATGAGATAATATGCTTCAGTCAGTGTCTAGGCACTGTTAATTGGCTGTGCAGGTACTTACAACTGAAACTATCCCAGTACAGTTACCTGTCAACCTCGGTGCCAAGCTGAGTTTGCGGAGGTTGGTGCCACACCCGTGTGTCACACACCTTGCCCCTCTAATTCCGGCTCCAGCTAATCCCCCCCTCTCATCCAGGTGGCCGGCAATAAGCTAGTGTGTGAGGTCGAAAGAAGCCTGGCACTTTGCTCTTATACTCTTAGAATGCTCCTGTTCGGCCACACCCTCTGCACGCAGCCGCTCTGCTGAGAAGCCTAAGCATGCTTGTAGGTACGGGGTCTCCAGGCTCCACAGGCCTCACAGGCGCCTGCCCTCCTCATTCCCTGACTCACAGGATTTGCGAGCATAAAGAACGGTTGGGTTTTATGTTGCTGTGTCTGGGGAGATGTGTTATGCAGCAATCGACAGTTGGAGCCGTATCCGCACACATCAGCCAGCAATTTCTCAGGGGAACTCGTTGGACAGAATGCTTTTCCAGTGCTTGTCTGCTAGCACAGAACAGTAGCATCCTGATTCAGTTATCCCAGTGTGTGTTTTAGAGCAAGGACTCTGGAGTCCAACCACTGTGATTAGAAGTGTGGCTGTGCTGTGTAATTGCTGGGTGACCTTAGACAAAGTACTGAACATCTCTGCCTCAGTTTCCTCCGCTGTCACACAGGGACCATGAAAGTTCACAGAAGGGATTCTGAGGGTAAAATGCATTGATCTTGGTGAAGCATTTAGAATGTGGTTAGTGCCATCTAAGCGTTTATTAAATAAATAGATACCTTCATATTCCCGGTACACTGTGGTGTTGGTGTCTGTCTGCCTCTGTATTATTATTATTTTTATTTATTTTTTAATTTTGTGGTACCAGAGCTCGAACTTAGGAGCTTGCGCTTGAGAGGCAAGCAATGGCACCAATGAACTACATCCCCGGCCTTGCCTCGGTATTATTTTAGTATCTAGGTTTAGAGACTCTGTCCACTGACAGCAGATATGATAAAGAACCCCGAGATATGTGCAGTCGCCCTCAGGAGTTACTGTGTTGGATCATATGGCATTGCCTTGTTTGGAACTTTTCTCAGGTCAGATATCAGCAATTTCATATGGTTAGACCTGACGTACATCGTTTTAAAAATATATAGATACTTTAACAAATAAAAGACAGCAACCAACTTCACGAGACACGTGCCGGATGCTGAGCTTGTGGAGACGAAGTAGGAGCAAGAGGAGGGGAGAGGAGCATGCACCGGGCACAGCGGGGGCTGGAGGGGCTGAGTGCTGTCGGCCCGCAGGCTGGGATCTTCTGGGTGCCGCAGAGAGCCTGCTGTTTCTGCTGGAGCCCTTCAGGAAACCTTTGCCGAAGGGTGAGATTTGTGCTGGGTTTTAAATTAAGTGCTTCGGTTGGCAGGCGAGACACCAAAAGGGATTCTAAGTGAGCATTTAGTGCATGTTAGAATATTTGCGGTGGCAAGCGAGAGAAGTCTGACTGACATTGTCATTGGCTGAAAGGAGATACAGGTGCACGCGTGTGTGTGACTAGAAAGAGTCGCGATAGGACTTCAGGAAAAGCTGGGTCTAGGCGCTTGAGTCATTAAGAGATTGTTCGTCCCCAGAGTCAACCTTCTCTGACGATTTAATTTCCAAGCATGTTCTCCCCACATAAGGGCAAACTCAGGGAGAGTGTGTCTTTCTGAATAGAGCCTATGAGGGGCTGACCCAGAATGACCTACCCCAAATAGAGTGGCCAGACCAGCATCACATGACCATCCCCAGAGATAATATCAAGCACAGGGTTCCCCAAAGGGAAGAGATATTATGTTATCTGAAGGACAGATGCTGGTCAGGTACTGCTATTTAGGCAAAATAACTTCCCACTTCCCACATCGGGTGACAGGGAAAATAGGACCTGGTCACAGAAGTGTACGTGGTCAGGCTGTGGCCACCAGCCATTGTGTTCCCTGCAGGTGGAACTAAAGTCTAATTAACAGGCTGTTTTATTTTGTCGTTACTGACACAGGGCCTTGCTATGTAGCTCACTCAGTCTGGCTTCAGTCCTCGTGCTCTGGCCTCCAGAGGTGCAGGCGTGAGCCACAGACAGTGGACTTACTAGTAACAGAGTCACCACGCAGCCCTGCAGCCCCTGCTAGGTGGAAGCGAAGCCCTGTCGCGTCTGTGCCTCTATACCTGCAGCTTCTACTCAGGGGAAAGAGAGGCGCTTTACACTTCCGGGCGGTTGCTTCTGTGACAGTGTTAAGGACGCACTGGAAAAACGGCGGCATGTGCAGTCTACACGTATGGGCTCCGTCCCTGCAGTGCGGTTCTTGAAACAGCAAGGTTTTTAATGTATATTAACAGAGGAGAAAGTTTTGGGGACAACCAGAAGAATTGTATTGCGTAAGTGATATTGAGGAACTGTTGGTGCATTTTGTTGGAGTACGATGATGACGTTGTGATTGTGTAAGAAAGAATCCCCAGTTCTTAGAATGCACCTTGACGTGTCTTGCGAGCGACGACTTGGGTCTAGGATTCCCCCAAGATTATTTCAGCACAAACAAGTGGAGAAGTACCTGGCAAGCTCTTCCTATCTTCTCTGTTTTGGTGCTTGTTTAAAAATTTCCAGCACGGATAAATATATGTCTGGAAATGCAAATCAGCCGTGGAGCCTCTCTTTGCGTCTGCACCCTTAAATGTGCCCCATCTACGTTTCTTAGTGTCTGCGTCTTCCTTGCGGAGGGTCTGATAATGCTGGCTTTCCCGAGTGCCAGCTCACCCACGGATAAAGCATTTGCTTTTGAATTTCATGGCTTTTCACTGCAAACTCCTATTTCTAGGAGAATTGTTTGAGGCCCAATATAGAGGTGGGTTTCTTCAGAAAACACCTGTGTCTGTTGTTGTGAAACCCTTGGGTCTATGCCCACTTTACAGCCCTGCTTCTCAGCATGACGTGCGTTTGAGAACATTGGATGCATACGCTTGGGCAGTAGACTGTGTGGGCCGCCTTTCCGCGGTTAGAGCTCAGAAGGTCTTTCCTCCTTCCCCTCCCCTAAAGACAGTTTCTACGCAGGACCCAGCCCCGGGAGAATGGGGTGAGAGTCGGTAAGGATTCAAGCAGCTTACTACTCCTTCATTCTTTTTTACTAGTGAAGGTGCATACCGTTTGCACTCCTTGAACAGAGCTGGCCTGTGTACGGAGCACATCACTGCTCCTTTCCCCTGTGCTCTTCTCCCCTCCCTCCGTCTCTCGATCCCCTTCCCATTTGAGAAAGATCTAGCTCCCTACTTCCTATCTTTTATTTCATTCTTTATTTATAACTTGGGTTTCTCAGGTGAGAGAAACCATGTAAGATTTAAGCTCATGCGCCTGATTTATTTCACGTCACATTATGTTCTCCAGATGCATCCATTTTCCTACAAATGCCTCAAGTTTATCCTCCTTTATGGCAGAGTTGTGCTCCATTGTTGTAATCACACTTTCTTTATCCATTCATCTGTCGATGGACACACAGGCCGCTCCCAAGATTTAGCTACCATGAATGGTGCCGCTGTAACTATGGGTGTGCGTGTACCTCTGTAGCGTAATGTTTTTTCTTTAAACTCTTTTGGGAAAATACCTAGACTGGGAAAGAAATCAGTCAAATAGAATTTCTACTTTTAGTGTTTGAGGAATCTTCATACTAATTTCCGCAGTGGTAGTTCCAGTTTATATTCCTAGCAGCAGTGTAAAAGGGTGTCTTCCCCACGGCCTCTCCAGCCTTTGTGAGGATTTGAGTTCTTGATGATGGCCACTCTTTCTGGGATAAGATGGAATCTCAG